GAGATCTGCTCTCCACCTCTGCCAATTACTTGGAGAAAAAAAAAAACAGAGAAAGGTATTTGTAAAAAAAAGCATCTGGTAAAATCCCTCACAATACTGCAACACTATGTCCAGACTACTTACTGAATCCAACCATCCCATCTGGAACTTTGTATTCCTCTGTCATCACAGATCTGTAGAAAAGGTTATATCAAACAAAGGACAGTTATCATCCAGAGACCAGACAGACATTACATTTAGACATACCATCTTATTAAATTGAGGAAGAAAGTTAGCGCACCAACCATTAATCTGGCATTCTTGCCTCCCACTAACTTAAAAAGTCAGACACAAGAACTAGGACTATACAAAAGCGACCACAAAGTTTAACATTAATCAATCTGTTTTCTTTCACCCTCTTTCCTATTAACAAGGTGTGTATAAGGCCAGTGTAGCGTCAAAAAAGTTTTATCCCTATTTTCAAAGGATGCTGAAAATACACACATTTCAGAATTTTACCAATCCTTTCTGTACAGTAAAGGAATAAAAGGCATAATTAACCTGTATCTGAGAGAACACCAAAATAAAGGGGGTACAAAGCACCATAATCTATGTGCAGCAAATTATCAGGTAAAGGATCAAAAGAATAGTTTGAAGTGGTTGTTTAAGGAAGAAAAGAGTAGTGGAAACTAGTAAATTGGTAGGTAATTTCATAGGTAACTGAACAATAAGATGTGTTAAGCCCACATCTTTTCTACTTATTTTTTAAATCCATTACTTTTCCATTTTGTTCACAAGATAGTGTCAATCCCTTTCCCCTCAGATCTGCTTCCAACTTTTGGTTATTCTACCTATGCTCAAATACTAAGCAACAGCAATTCATTTACCTTATACTATTTTTGATACATAGCATTGGCTGCCAAGAGAAAAACACAGCCAGCAGGATTTTACCAGATGCATTTTAAGGGTTTGGCTTGGGACTGTTGAAGCTAAATTTCAACATATCACAGATCTTGATTTGTGCAATTATTTTATACATTGGTATCACTTTCGTAAAAGAGTTTGTTGAATTTTTTTTCTTTTAGTACAATGGAAAACTTTATATAAGATGTAACATAACTTACCGTTGTTGTTGATGCATTGGTGGTAGCTGATTTCCAAAAGCTATAAATAAATATTTTTAAAATTAAATCTGAACAGCCTGATTTGCAGTTAAGTCTCTAATCTAATAAAACTTATTTGTACACTTTTGTCCAAACTACGTTATAAGAATTGTTATTAAGAAGTCTAAAAACATAGCCAAAAGATTCTCAATTGTTTCTAATATGATCGTCAGCTTTAGCAAGCAGATTTGCACTGCTTAAAAGAACTGAGACAAGCTCCCAGTCATTCCTTCTACCTCACTGATTAAAATATCACCTACCAAACACTGTTTCAAATTCTTGTTTTGAAAATGTTACACTGGTTTATTTTATTTTTTTTTTTCGACAACAAAATAAAAATTACTTACAGTCATTCTGAGGAGCAACTTTCTTAGCATCTGGTTGATCTGCAAAATTAAGATTTTTTAAATTTTTTTGCCAAGAAATTCAAGAACTGCTTACACCTTTTAGTGTAAATTGCAACTTTCCAGTGTATTTTAGTCCCCCTTTCCTTTTTTTTTTTTGTCCAATTTCAGGGAGTTGATCTTCTGAATAAAAGAAAGAATCTCACGAACACTCAGCACTTGGTTAGTACAGCTGAAAAGATGTTAGGTTTTTCCATGTATCTATTCAGTAGGTTAACAAAAGGCAGTTTTCAGAACATATTGTAGATTGCTCATAGATACCCAGTCACTGAAACTTAACTAAGACAAGGAACAAAGTTCAGCTCTGTTGGTTGCTCAAGCTAATGATGCTTCTATAGTTTAAAAAGAAAAAAAAAAAAAAAGAAAAAAAAGAAAAAATCAAATTCATACAAAAATTAACAACAATTTAAAGAAAAAAATCTGACAATGACCACAAATCTAGATCAAACATTTGGAAATACAACAGCATCACACAGCAATGCAATCTCAATCTGAATGTTGGTATGAAATTCCTACCCAAATATCAAGCATTTCATAGCATAAAACTTCAAAAAAAAAGCAGATTCAAAGCAACTACATCACTACCATTCAAATCCTTTTTGTACAGTAAAGGAATAAAAGGCATAATTAACCTGTATCTGAGAAGATAGACTTCAGATGCTTCCTTCCCACCCCAAAATAAAGGTTATATGAACCACCACAATTTATGTGCAGCAAAAATTCAGACACGTATTCCAAGAAATATTTGTGTCAATCCAGAAAGATCCACTAGTTTATGTCATGTTTACATACTAAACACAGGTAATAAATAAAAATTCCTGCCTTTAAAAGGAGAGGGCATTCCCTCCCAGTGTGTTGTACTGCTCGGACTTGTCCAAGAGCCATCTACACATAAAATAAAAAGAATACATTACATATATCATCTGAAGCATCATTAGCTCATTTTTGTATATTAAAAACCTCACCATTAATAGAAAAAAAACTTTATTACAGGACACAAGAACTCCTGATATAAAGCCTTAGTTACATTCTGTAGACTGAGTTTCAATCCACTCTCAAAGGAAAAAAAAGGCATTGCTCTTTTATAAGACCTATGTGAACATTTCAACAAGCTCAGAGATTTCTTTCCACAATTTAGCCAGGATTTCGTGTATATACTAAACATACCAAACCCTGTTAAGTTAAAACTGGCTGCTTAGTAAGAGACAGAAGAGGAAACGCACATATTTCAGAAGAAAACTTTACTGCAGTGTAAGGCAAATCCAAAAAGCTGCAACAAGCTAGGGGATTTAAGTACAATCTTAACAGGATTCACATATGCTATATACTTTAATATCCAACTAAGTGAAAATGCCTACAAGGTAGAATATGTACTTTCCTGTCTTTTTTTAAAGTCCTATGCTTTTACAATGAAATGCATAAATATGTTTATTTGAACCTGTGCAATAATAAAGTATATGAAACGATCTAAGAAATGACCACTTCCCATTCTAATTATAATTTAGAAACTGCAATCTGTCTCATGTAACAAACAAAAGACTCCAGTAACATACCTGTTTAAGTGTTTCTCAGCCATGAATTTATATGCCCCCCCTCCCTGGCATATGTTATCCTCTTTATAGTTTTTAAGCCACACTTAAGATTTTTTAAAACAGGCTTACATTCACTTCAAGTTAGAGCACAATGGTTTCAAAGAAGTTTCCCCATTAAACAGAAAATGAAAAAGCATGTCATGGCCTATAAAGGGAACAAAATGTTTTTTTACTGTGTTACAGAAAAAAAAAAAAAAAGCCACCTGCAATTTTCCTGGCATCGTGGCTATACTGAACAACAATAAATGCAGCAGTAACGAGTGCATACCTCCATCCTCAAGAGGTCTTTTTTGTCCTCCATAACCGTAGTCATTTGAATTCATTGATGTACCAGCATCTCCTCCAATTTTTGCTGCAATCTAAACAAAAGCTAGATGTGAATTAAAAACAAAAAACACATCTTCTGAACAGCATTAAGTGCTGTAATGAAGCATATTAAGGTGATCCAAAATAAATAGAAAACTACTATTAGAATCTATGCAAATGGACATTAATTTTTAAACACTTTTAACAGACTTGCGCTCATTTTTTTACTCCAGAGGTTCCTGTATTTTCCTTTCCATCAGTTGAAATAAACTCTACCCTTCAAATAGTAAAAGCTTTTTTTTTTCCCCTCTAGAAGGGATTTTACGTTTTTTTTTTTTTTTTTTACCCCTTTCTCAAAAAACACTGTAGTATAGTACCAAGAAGAAACTGACTACTAAAACTGTTTTAAACATCAGTAACGCCAGCTACACGAGATGTTTAAACGCTGCCAAAACCGCGATCGGTCATTACCAGCCGAGGCGAAAAACTCGCCTGCGAAATCATCGCCCGTGGTGAAAAATCCCTAAATGAAACTTCGGCATAAAAAACTTCCGAAGGCCGGGCCGCCCTCGCTGCGCAGGCCGCAGCCCTTCCAACCGGTCTGAGCAGGTTAGCGGGCACTGAGGAGGGCGCCCGGGGGCACACAATACGGGGCGCACACCGCGGGCCGCGCTGCTGCGCCGCCTCCATTCCCTGCCTGGCTCCGCGGCCCTGCAGCGCCGAGCGGCGATAAGGCGCCGCTCCGGCAGTCTCCGGCCGAGATTTGCCTCCCCGAGGCTGGACACCCGCCCGCCGCCCCGCCAAGGCTGCGTGAGGAGGGAGCTGCGGGGACGGGACGGGGCTGCCCCCCTCACACACACCCCGGCGGCCGGGCCCCTCCTCACGTCCCCTCAGCGCCGCGGCCCGGCGAGGGGCCGCCGGAGGCCCGAGGCGCCTTCTCCGCCCGCACACACCTGCCTAGCCCTCTGCAGCGCGTCTTTAAAGGCATCGTTCACTCCTCCACCTCCGCCGCCGCCTCCCCCGGGTGCGCCCGCAGCAGGAGGGGGCACGGTGGAGTAGTCCGCCATGCTCGCTCGGCCGCCGCCTCCTGCCCCGCTCGCTGCCTGCCAAGAAAGAAAGAAAATGGCGGCGGGCGGGAGCCTTTCACATTCCTGCGCGGCATCGTGCTCGGGGGGGGGGAGCGCGCGGGGAAACCTCGCGAGATCTGCGACAGGAGGGGCGAGATTTCATCGCGGCGCCGGAGGCAACCCCAGGGCGTTGGGGGGGGGGGGGGGGTGAGGGGGAGAGCTCGCGATGCTTCCAGAACGTCACGAGCGTGAGGAGGCAGCGAGGGATTGGGCTGGGAGCGTCACGTGGTGAGAGAGGCGGCTTGAGGGGGGGGGGGGGGGGGAGAGGGGATGGTGAGAGGTACCTCTCGCGAGATTTGGGGGCGAGCGAGAGCAGCGCCTGAGGAGCGGGCCGGGCAGGGCAGGGCAGGGCAGGGCAGGGAGCGGCTGAGGCGGCGGCGGGCGGTGAGTGCTCGGGGAGGGGCGGGAGCGTTTAACGCCCGGGGAGACGTTTAACGCCCGGGTACCTGCTTCTCTCCCTTATCCGGCCGTTAAGAGGAGCTGTGCTGCCCTGAGCCCCCAGCCGGGCGCTGCCCGTTTGCCCTCCGCGTGACGCACGAAAGCTGCGAAAAAATAATAAGTTTTTTTCTTCGTGTCTGGCCCTGGGGCCCTTCCCTGCGCCTCGGTTGTTTGTGTCTTGGTTTGAAGCCCTCGCCGCTATCGCATGGCTGTGACAGCTGTTTGTTTGTTTTTTCGTGGCTGAGCAAGCATCAGCTTTAATCATAAACTGGAGCTGGTAGTGCTCTGGTCTGGGCCCTGCCTGGGAGCGAGGAGGAATAACTGTCTCGGAGCGAAGGCTCCGGGGGGAATAACCGTCCCGGGCGCTGCGAAGGTACGGTCTCAGCCTGGGCGGAGAGCGAGGGCGGCCAAGCTGTATGGCTGCTTGCTGCCCTGTGCTGTGCCGAGGGAAAGGCTTGCACTCTTTTAAAGCTATATGCGTAATCTTCATCAGGGGTTACGTTAACTTAATATGTTTTTTTTTAAAAAAATGTATGTATTTTTAAATTGAGGTGTGAAGAGTCTCTTGATTTGGACTTCACCTGGTTTTTCTCTATATGCAAGGAGGGAACAACTTTGTTTAAAGTTGTATAAGAGTGTGCTGTGTTGACTTGTCTTGTGACTAGCCTTGTAGTCCCATGCTGTCTTAAGAAGTTCCTAGTTTCTTGCTGACCCCTTCAGTTCTGTCTGTTTATAACCAGGATTGTTCTAGCAGGTGACTCGGTAATAGAAAAGGCAGCAGAAACACCTTAAGATATGGTGCTGCTGCTGAGGTCAGATTATCCTGCATCTCCAGTCTAGGTAACTCTACCAAAGGAGACTGAGAACATGCTAGATTTTTTTCCTTCAATACAGTTTATGAAGTGGTATAGCTCAATAGAGTTTTAAGACTAATATATTTATTTTCCACAAAACTAAAATCTGTATGTGCACATGGACAAATTATATTGTATAACTAGAACTAAGTGAAACTTGCTGCTCAGATACCTTTGCTAAAAAAGGCCTGTTCAGAAGAATTGGCATATGCTTTATGTTAATTTAGTTGTGCTAATGTGGGGGAAGAAGACAAGGAGTAAAAATAGCTTTGGGAAAGTGGAAACTTTATTTTCGTGCATGACTCTTTGTTCTTTCAAAACAATACTTAGAGCATGAACTTTTTTTTTAGTTTCCTTTGTTATTGTGAAGTTGGCTATGTATACCAGCCAGGCTATGCAGATAAATAATTTGAGTGATGGTAGTTGACCAATGAGTTGAATATAATACTGGCTGCTGGCTATGTCTTTTATGGTTTGTCACTTCTTTGAAGATGTGGAGCTTCTGCATCCTTTGTTTTTGTTCTTATGAAACGTGGTAATGACTGTTAAGTTCTGTGAGATGAGCCAACAGCTGTGTAATGCTAATGACATTTCAAAGTGGATGTGTCTTGGCCTAATGAAAGGACTTGTGCTATTAAAAGTGTTCTAGTTAGATTCACTAGCAGCTAAAGATAAGGGTTAACTTGAGAATTTTTACCAGCTTTTTGCTAGTGTTTAAAGTGCCTCTCTACTTAAAAGTGGCAAGACATGTTTAGTATATGTATGATTCCTTAACCTTCCAGATTCTTGAAGGCAGTATATTTGTTGTCTTAGACCTTCCAGGTAGTTAGAAGATGAAGCTTAGCAAATTACAGAGGAACAGCATCTTACATGTTATCCTGTACAAATATTAAGTCCTTATTTACAGCATTCTTAAGTTGATCTAATGGCCTTTGTCAACAGGTAGAGTTGCTTTTGTATCTCCCATGATGGCACTTAGCACTTATCAGCTAGAAACCCGTGCCTCTTTAAAACTGTCTGTTTCCTGTTATTAAATGTTACTTCCCTCGAGAAAAATTACCACTATGTGATTAGTTCCTTCTCTTTTTTTTCTCAGTGGGGTGCGGATCTAATCCCTGAACACTGCTGACCGCAACATTCTTTCAAGTGCTTTTCTGACTTGGTATAGCAATACACACCAGGCTGTGATGCTTTCTCACTTGCAGAATTACTCATCGCATTTTTTCAAAATCTGCCTTCGAAGAAATTAAATTAAGTGGATTGGTAAACAAGTATTTGCACTGTGCTTCTAGAGCCAGAGGACTTTGATTTTGCTGTGTAAAATAAGCTTTGGTTCTACAGTAACATCTTGCTAAGAAAATATGTACAGTTGAGAAATCTACCACTCTTGAAATTTTAATAATTAGATAGTGGACAACTTAAGAGGTAACGGAAGCATAGCTTTAAAATGTCTTTCAGTATTTCTTTTAGAGATTGGAGAGGGGTGTATTCCCTTAATCTTCTTAATGACATCTCTCATGGTATTCAGGCCACACTTTTTTTTAGTAATCATCGGAGTAGACCATTCTGATAAATGTAGTTACTAAGAAACAGATGATTTTGGGGAAAAAAAAAAGGAAACAAAACTGTGACAAGTCAGAAAACTTTATATGTACAATGTGGATAATCACAAACCTAATAATGGAGAGTTCTGAAAAAGGAGAGCATTTCTATTTTATTAATCAAATATTCTGTGTGTTAAGGAGTCCTTACTTCTACAAAAAGATACTTGGGGCAGTTCTAAATCAAACAGTTCAGTTGTTGTAGAAGTATAAATGTGTAAGTGTGGAACTAACCCAAATTCTCTGTGTAAGCTGAGGTACTTCAGCGTATGCTTCTTTGAGGACTGTTCCTTATTATTAAACAATATATTTTAATTTTGGTGGTCCATGGTGACCAGATAGGTCACCTCTCAATGGGTCATAAGATAAAGAATTAAATTTTCTTACAGAGTTGTTTCTGTACATCTCTGGATGTGGTGGTTTGACTTTGCCTTAGTATGTTGAACAGCACTAAAAGTGATGACAGTCTCTAAACCATTGTGGTAGTTTTACCCACTCTGCTTTCTGCAAATCACTGTTGAGCTGGGGAAATTTGCAATTGGCTTCTGCTGATTTCATCACTTTAGGAGATTCAGTTCTTAACTGTCAGCTGGTGTTCCTGCACTGGCAAAGGGTGTCCAGGATCGACAGTACTACCAGTAGAAAACTCCTCTTATGTAACTCCTGAGAGGAGATCGAGCACATGCTCAATATCCAAACAAGAGCTGATCTGTTGTCATAAGCTTCTGTGTTTACCATATGTACATTGAAGTAGTAATTCCGAATTTCACTCACAAAGTGGGCCTGAAAGAGAATGTATTTGTGAAAAGGTAATACTAAAGTGTAACTTAAATTGCCTGCAGAATCTTTGCAATGCTTTATAATTAGATCATCTTTTGAGAGAGATGAAGTTCATTGGGAATGGTTTTTAAGCTTGAAGTAGGAAGGTTACCACACAGAATTCACCTACCCAGGATTCCAGAAGTGGTGGGCCAGCTGCATGTTCCTATTCTGGAAATATACCTATTGTGCTATATTCCAGACAGAGGCATGGGTTGCTGCTGAGGATTTGGAGGTGATAGGAAAAATCATTTGTGGAAGAGGAAGAGCAAATTTGCTCCCTAAGCCCATTTCTGGTTCCCTGTGTACCAACTTATGTATAGTAAGCTTAAAAAAACAAAACACAGCAACAGTTGTTCAGGGTTTTTTTTCCTTACATTTAGCTGTGGTGCTTTTCTTAGCAAAAATGTTGTTAAGTGCTGTTAAGCTGCGTTAAGCATTTGAAACAAAGCTGTGTAGGTATTGTAGATCCCTTAGAGTGTGTTTTGCACATTTTACTCTGTGGTTCTTATTCCATATGTCTTTAGTTAAAGGTATAAGCGGATGAAAGGGAATTTAATAGTAAAGCTTAAAAGGGGAGAAGGGGTCTTTGCACCAACGTTTCTGTTGAGGTCTACTCACCAGTTTTATTCTGTGGTTGAAGACAGTTGAACAATAAAAGATTAATATAATCTAACCTCTGAAACTTTTATTAGCTGACAGAAGGCAACCAAATGTGTTATGCCACCATCACAATTACAGAAAGATTAATGAGAGAACATGCAGTTCTGCCTTGAATACAATTGCAACATGCAATGAGACAGTGGATCACCGTCTAGTGATCTCTGCACAATGTAGTGCAGGGGCAGCTGAAGAATACCAGTTGGCATGGTAGTGTGCTCATCAGTCTCCAGTGTCCTACCCGCTCACGGGAGCTGGATGTTTTTCTGTGGAAGTCACGGGAAGGAAAGCTTTGACAGCCCAGAGCATTTGTTTGCTGTTAACATCTGTAAAACTCCTCCCAGATGGCAGAAGTGTGAAAGGTCTTGCTTGTAATAGATTGGTTGGTAGAGCTAGGCATGGTATTTGAGTATGAGTAGGGATTAAGAAGGGCAGAAATGGGGACTGAATGTGGGCTTCTTTTTTAAAAGGAAGACCAAGTTAATGTAGCAGCAGCTGTAGAGGATAGAAGTGGATCGTATTCTTCAGCAGAACACTGAAGAAGGTGAATTCAAATCCTGTTACTAAAGCTGTAAGTGTCTGTTGAATTAAGGTAATAATATTCAACTTCCTCATCTCAAAGTGGGGAAAATGACTTGGATGAAGGGATAAAGTGCCTTCTCAGCAAGTTTGCTAATGATACAAAGCTGGGAGGAGTGGCAGATAGCCCAGAGTGCTGGGCTGCCATTCAGAAGGATCTTGAGAGGCTGGAGAGATGGGCAGAGATGAACCTCTTGAAATACAATGGATGCATGTGCAGGGTCCTGCACCTGGGGAGGAATAACCACGTGCACCAGGACAAGCTGGGGGTTGACCTGCTGAAAAGCAGCTCTGTGGTGAAGGACCTGTGGGTCTTGGTGGGCACTAAGTTGACCATGAGCCAGTACCAGGCCCTTGTGGTCAAGAAAGAAGGTGTCCTGGGCTGCATTAGGAAGAGCGCTGGCAGCAAGTCAAGGGAGGTGATGCTTCCCCTCTGCTCAGCCTCACCTTGAGCGCTGCGTCCAGCGCTGGGCTCCCCGGTACAACAGGGACATGGAAGTCCTGGAGCAAGTCCAGCGGAGGACTACTGGAATGATTATGGGACTGGAACATCTTTTGTGTGAAAAAAGGCAGATGGAGCTGGGCCTGTTTAGCCTGGAGGTGCAAAGGCTTGGCAGATCTGAGCCATGTACATAAGTTTCTGAAGGGAGGGTAAAGAGGATGGGGCCAGACTCTTCTTGGTGGTGCCCAGTGATAGGCTGAGAGGCAATGGGCACAAACCAAAGCACAGGAAGCTCAGTCTGAACAGGAGGAAAAGCTTCTTTACTGCAAGGGTGACTGAGCTCTGGAACAGGCTGCCCACAGGAGTCTCCTCTGGAGAGACTCAAAAGCTGTCTGGATACAATCCTGGGTAATGTGCT